AAACAGTTAAAATAAGACTTTTTTGACTTTCTGATTTAACGTTGATGAAAAATAAAAAATAAAATCTTTCTTTATTCAAAAAGAATTAATGCAAAACGTATCCCCAAAGCGAAAACTTTTTGGTTAGCATACAGAAGATTTATCAGATTTCTTTCTATATACGCATAGCTTTTGAAATTAACATACATGACTATTCGGCGCGCAAAAAAGATGCAGGAACTTAATTTTTCTTTAGATGTAATACAACACCTAAACCAAGTCTAAGTATAAATTTATGAAAAAATAAAATATTTTTTTTCATTTAGATATGTACCATCATTGAACTGAAATGTAAGTGTTAATTAAAAAAAAATAAAAATATTTCTTTCACTTAGATGTGGTACAAAACTTAGATGAAATGGAATTACAATTTTTTATGAAAATATTAAATTATTTTTTTTTAATTTAGATGCGATCCAACACATAATCCTACTGTAAGTATATATTTATTAAAAACAACATTATTTTTTTCATTTAGATATCGACCATCACTGAACTGAAATGTAAGTATAAATTTAAAAAAAAAAGATTACTTTTTCATCTAGATGTGATCCAACACAATCCGAATGTAAGTATAAATTTATTACAAATAATTTTCTTTATTTAGATGGGATCCAACACATAATCCAAGTGTAAGAATAAGTTTAAAAAAATTTAACTTTTTTTGTTTAGGTTAAATTGAAAAACTTATGCAAGCGTAAGTATGAATTGATAAATTAAGTTGCGTATTTACTCATACGATCAATTTTCGGGATGCGACAAATCCTGTGCTTCTACATAAAGATTGTAGATTTTCAGTAATAAAGTACCCAAATAAGATCAAATCTTTGTGTCAGTTGTAAGTTAGAAACATTTTTAGTCGCTCCACTTGATATTGCAGTACCATATTTGTTAAATCTCAGAAAAACACTTCCGAGATTTGGTACATAGAGTAATACAATGTGAAGTAGTGTGTCTAAAATTGTTTATAATTTACAATTGACACAAAAATTTGGCTGGATTCGGAAGTCTTCTTACCGAAAGTGTACAATCTTAAGTAGATAAGTAGAATTTAGTGCACCCCTAAAATAAACGATAAACATCATGAGTAGTTAGGTGTAGGAAGGATGTTGAGAGGGTTGTGATGAAGAACCATCTCTTGACCGTTTTTACCGCCGGTTAACCAAAATTAACGGCCGGTTAACTGCTGTGGACTGCGGTTAACCGGAAATTTTTCGGTTAACCGCGATTCACCGAACGGTTAACCACGGTTAACCGACGGTTTTTTACCGGTTCGAGCGACATGGGTAATTGTCTATTAAATTATTTCATTCGTGCAACTTTGTAATAATCAAAAACAAAATACTGTTACTTTCATATACATCTTCATTTATAACCTCCATCATTTTAATCATTATATCTATATGATGTAAGCCATACGTAGAGGAAGATATAATCTTATTCTTTATTTAAGTACTAAATATTTTAAGTATTATAATTATTAATTAAATATAAATTTTAATATTAATGATTATTGTATAGGATATAAAATATTTATAATTGTGCATTCAATATTTAAAACAAGTGAAGTTCTTTGACATAGAATGTCGAGTCAGTGGGACCTAGACTGAACGAATCATGGCTGAAATATGCTTACAATTTCATATAATAGCCATTACGAAAGATATTAACTATATTTTGAAAGTATTCTATGCAAATCATGGCGTGTAAGAATATTGGTCATTTGTGCCATAGAAATGGCTATATAGCTCCGATAAAAGTGGTCAAATCTGCTACAGAAATGGTCAATAGTGCCATAAAAATGATCACTTGTACCATCTAAATGGTCATTTGTATCAAATGTTACAAACAGACGGACAGACACTGATGAATTTCGTTTTCTATGCCGTGTCCTTCCAGTCTAGGAAAAATATATAACATTTAAATTATTATTGTAAGTATTAAATACAACATATTAAATGAGATATTAAGTCATAAATATTAAATAAAATATGTAATATGTAACATTTAAAATAATAATTTGTGATGTTATATATGTTAAATATTAAATAAAGTATTTAACATATTGAATATTAATAATTAATTCACTATTTTACTAATTAATTAGTTGATCTTTCAGTAATAACCTAGACTACCCGTCACTCACTCGCTGTTGCTATAGCTAGGGGGAGGAGGAGTCGGAAAATCTGGATTTGAAACTTACACTCACTAGTTTCTTCAAAAATATGTGTGAGTTTCACAAAAAAGTGAAAATGAAAAACAAATTATATGAACTAAAACATGTTCCAATTTTCTAAATAATTGAAGCACATTTATTGTTTTAATTCGTAGTCTGAACGAAGTACTGAGAGGTTTGTAGAAAACGTTGTTTGATCATAATGATAAACACCATGAGGATAATGTTATGCAGCAGAAGCAAAACAGACTAATCTAACGATTTCAGGTATTGAACGATTAAACATGATCACAAGTGTACCGATAATGAAAGCGAAAAAAAACAATTCAGATTCATCATAAAAGATATTAAAGCAAAATTCTGTATTCGGATACCGAATAGATTGGTAACGCTATCATGTGAACGAGTAATTTTATGTGAATGCATCTACCTAGTTAGACGAAATTAATAAAAAAACGCGTAAAAATAAGTTTAACATGAACTCGTTTTCATTTCGTTACAACCGCACATAAAAACGTGTTAGCAACGTCTTTTAAATTTAAACGAGATTTTTATGGTACTGGATACTTTAACGCATTAAAACCTAGCATTTTCACGATCTATTTTTGTTTCATGCCAGAGCTTCCAAAAGGATCAGTTCGTGAGTTAATATGAGTTGAAGTTTCTTTGAGAATTACTGTGTGACAGTACGAGGTAAAACATATTCTTTGAGAATGTGAGATAATGGCAATGCTGTTTCAAGGCAAGTGTATTTATTGACAGAGACTGTGTCTTAAAATTGTGAGTGTGCTTGTTCGAAACATTTTTGCACATGTCGATTAATACCTGCAAAAATTTTCGAAGCAGAACAATCACTATTGAAACAAACAGCCTATGCCAATAAATACAGTTGTCTTGAAAAACCACTGCATTTATCTCACGGTCGCAAAGAATGTGTTTTATCTCGTACTATCACATAGTAATTCTCAAAATAACTTCAATTCATATTAACCTATGAGCTGACTCATCTGAAGCTCTGTTTTTATAGCCAAACGTGCTGTTGAACATGTGGTAAAACTGTCAAATATGTTCTATAGACAATGCAATGCATCATGATTATTTAGAATTTATTTGTGACTACTTGATGGTAGTCTTATCATGACATCCTTAGATCTATCTTGTTACTCGTAAAGTTCAATATCTTTGTCTATACCCGCATACTATTATATCTACATATATCTTTATCCCTACATCTTCATCTCTAGGATGCTTTTGTGTTCATATTCTTATATCCGTACTCTTGTTCCTATAGCCATATCCATCCAATCTTATAATTATATATTCTTAACTGTCGAAGCCTTATACCTATGCGCTTATCCACAAATTCTTATGCCTATCAACTCATATCTATCCTATAGTTATTTTGTGCTTTCTTAGATGCTTATTTCCGTGCATTTTGTCGCGTACTATTATACTCGTATCCTTCGATTTATAGTTTAAATTTAAACTAACTAGTACATCGATAAGATGTCATTACGTCGAGGTATCTGCGCCATTAATTTTAGACCTATACTCGATTACATGAAGTTTCTAATCGATGTGAAGCTAGCACGACCGGGAAAAAAATTCATTGGATATAAGGATCAACCAATCGAAAAATCGAAATAAGAAAAAACACCATTTTGAGGGATTGGGTAACTATAATGGCCGCAGATAGCAACACATATATAAAAAAATACATACACAGATAAAAGTATCGATGTGAAGCTAGCACCAGTGTTTCCAATAGGAATCTGAAACAAAGTATATTTGGGTATTTGTTTCCATTGACAAAGTATTTGCTGGTACTTTGTTCTACATATCAAAGTACCCCAAAGTACTACAGCAAAGAATTGATTAATGAAAAACAAAGACAAAGTTATTACTATTCGTATCTCTTGATAAAAATAAGTTCTTGCACAAAAAACAAAATATAGAAAAAAATGTACACATATTCATCTCACCAGGTTAAAGAAATGTTCTGAATGAATCTTTACTATGATATGTATATAATAAATAAATAAAAAAGAAAATAAATTTTTTATTGTTGTTCTTCTTCATGCATATCAATACAGTCTTCACAAAACCATGAAGTTGATTCGATCGAAACTGCTAATTTGATACGACAGGTATTACATAACCATCGAGAACAATTATCTTCGATCCAATCGTAATATTCATTTTGATGGCAGCATTGGATAGCGTGTGTTTCTTCTGGATCATCAGCAGCAATACTTTTTCCACAACGATTTGCACATTTTATAGCTTTGGCTTTTTGTTTTTTTGGTTTAACAAGACAATTATCAATTGTTGTTAATTGTCTCTTACGTGTATTTGGACGAATCTGTTTTGATGGTATATAATCATCTGGTACATCAATTATTAATTGTGCTCGATTAATTCGACGACGTTCATCTTGTCCACTCCATGTATTATAGGCTTTTTGAATTATTTCTCGACATCGATCACTAAAATGAGACAATAAGTGCGATGTTTGTTTGCAGTTAAATGAAACACATTAGTTTTACCTTCTCAAATCATCAGGAAAAAGCAAACGAATATTCATTATCACATCAAGTGTATCAATCATTATTCGTGAACGTCCATTTGTTTGTATTCGATTAACAATTGAATAACCACGTTCACATTCAGCTGAATTAAGTGGTGATATCAAATAAATTGATAATAATATTAATATATTTTTGTACTGTTCATGAAAAGAATCATTGATGGCTTCTTTCCATGAGATAAAGGATTTCCAAAATATTCTTCTAGATTTTTGCTGTTCATTAATACTTACAAAATCACTTAATGAAATTTTTAATGTTTCCCATTCATGTCGACATTTATTCATATTGAATCCATTTAAATTTCTATATTTCGTGCAAATATATTCAAGTTCTTGTCGTCCATAATTTGATTTCATTACATCATCTTTATTATTGATTAAATAATCAGGTTCAAATAAAACAAGAAAACATTGTTGTAATTTTGATGGCTTCAATCTTTTATCCAATTCCAATAATAATCGATCAATATGTGTAAAACATTCCTTATACAATTTATCACGATCACCAATGACAATTTTAAATGCACCATAAGAATTATTGTTCATAGTAGAATCTAAATAATCATTCAATGTGGGTCCTAAAATGCATTTTGATTCTTGTTTTTGAGAAAGCCAATTATTTAATATTTGTCTTTTTTCATTCAATACGTTCATTAAAGTTAAATAAGGTAAATCATCATTTTGTAATAATTTAGTTAATTCTCCTATAATGGAAATGAAAAGATGACAATGAAAAATAAAATCTTCTTACCTAGAACACATTCATGTAAATCATAATGAAAATGAAGCATAAACAAAAAATCATCATTTAATATTGAAGATAATAAATCAGCTGCTGCTTCACGATCATTATTGGTTAAATTTTTACCGAATTTAATCTCTTGTAATGTAGCTAATAAGGCTTGATTTGCTACAATAGAAAAGATAGAAATAATGCTAATAAAATAAAACAAGTATTAAAAAACTTTTACTTGGTGTGATGTTGAACATGATGGGTTTTATCGAATCTCGAATAGCTGTCCAACGTATGCTGAATAATTTTTTGAATTTTAATTCAGGAACATCCAACAGATTTTGCCAACATTTAAGTTTAAACGTTCGAGTTGCACTTGAACCAAAATATTGATAAATTCGACCTATAATATTTTCAAGTTTTGCAATTAAATCACGTTTTTTTGCTTTTTTATCATCATCTACAAAAACTTTTTAATTAATGGATAGAGGTATAAATAATACATACCTTCTTTAATAAATCCAGCTTGGTTTCCTACTAATGCAAACGAATGTGCTACACATGTATTTAGTTCAACAAAATCTAGATCATAATCACGTTTAAGTATTGCCACAACACCATTATTAACACCTACAAAAGTTAAAGTTGACTTTTTTTAAAACAAAGGCTTAATACCAGTAAACGTAGCAGCATTGTCAGCAGCAAACCAACATATTTTTCCAGGATTTAAGTCGTCTTTTCTCCACAATGATTTAATACAATTGACTATATTTGAGGCTGAACCATCACCATCCAAACCCAAAACTCCATAAAAACTTGTTTTAGATTCACCATTTTCGAAATATCTGACATAGATAATGAGACTTTTTTCTACAGTTCGAGAAGTGCTTTCATCAAGCATCCAGCCTAAGCAGCCAAAAGCATCCTTACAGGGTGTTTCATTAGTCTTGAGGCGCCATAAAATTAGTTTATATACAGACATAAAATAACTCCTAATTGAATGTTTTTATATAAGCCTTGATTACTCGTATAAATCTTTCAAAATGACATATTATTGGATAATATCTTCACGCGTAATAATAAAAATATAAACATGAGAATGTAAGGAAAAAATTTTCACAGTCGATCAATTAGATATTTATTAAAGAGACGAGAAACACTTTATTTTATAAATACATATATTAATCTGACTATACAAAAATATTATTTAACTATTACGCGTTTGTTGTACACCATTTTTTATTAGTTCGACAAGTCTCTTAGAAATTTTATCAATCGTTCTTGACAATCATTACAAGTTTTTTTTTCATTCTTTGTTCAATTTAGTTTTATATTGTTCAAAACTTGAAAATTGTTCTTCTCGTGCCTTTTTTTGATCTTCCTTATACACTCTCCGTAGGTCATACGTGAGCAACTCTATCGTCACCTTTTTAAGGTAAAATAGATTACTAAACAATTCCATCAATAGTTCAAAATGCAATCTTTGTTTTTGTATTTCGTTCTGCGTGCGATTTTTTCATATACCTTATCCATTTCAATCCAATTGCTGAGTATATAACTTGACTGAACGTGTAACAGTAGAGTGTGATGAGGGTGGAATAAGCGGATAAGATAACTAATTTCTAGTTTCTACTACACTACGCTTTATGTAGAATTGTTCAGCACGTAATTAAAAAACCTTTCAAAAAAAACTACGTCGGTCGATTCAGAAAAATTTATTCTCACATACTTATATTTTTATTTTTATTATTACAAGAGAAGGTATTACCAATAATATGTCATTTGAAAGATTGACAGGAGTATTCAAGGTTCCTATAAAAACATTTGGTTAAGGGTTATTTTCTTTCTGTATATAAACTACTTTTGTGGCGCCTCAAGACTTATGAAACAACCTGTATTCTTATGTTTTAAATTTTTTCTTACCTATGGCTTGACTTTGTTTTACTTTTTCAAGAATTTCTTCATGTAAATAAGAAGCCACATGACGTAAAAATTCTAATGCTGCCTTATCATTTCGATAAGTAACACCACCTAAATCTGCTGGCAACAATTTAACACCAAGAGCTTCAATTAACGTACATAATTTCTCGAATGAGTTAATTGATTGATCTTGTTGGCAAATATAAACTGCTGATAAAATCAAATTTTGTATTGCAATCTCATGTTTAGTTCGTTCTTTCATTTGTGTTGTTGTCCAGGATGGTTGAGAGTGAGATGCTCTTTGCAATTCAAGTTGTTGAGCTTGTTTGTGAACTTCATTATCTCTATGTTCCTTTATTTTTGATAATTTCATTATTTGATAACCTGATGTGCACCATAAATTAATTTTTCCATTTGAATTTGTTCTTTTTTGGTACTTCTCACAAAGTTTACAACCAAGACCATTATTGCCATTTTTATCTTTTTTGTTATACAACCAACAAATGTTTTTTTCATGTCTATTATTAAATATATCAAATGTATATGTTTTATAGAACGATTCTGGTTGTTGTTCCCATGTTGATAAATAACTACCATATTTTTTCTCACGTAATTTAGCAGATGCTTGACTTGTTACTATTGCTTGATCTACTGTTGCCATGTCATAATCATGATCATTTATTATATTTGATAGTATAGGTATATCATTTTCAACAGATAAATCAATAATAACATTCGTTTCAATTCTGTCAACGCCAATTATTTTCTTATCTTGAGTAAAAGCTTTAGCTTCATCATCAAATGAACTGGATTGATCGTTTAAATTTTCCTTCTGTTCCGTATTTGCAACACCGAGTGTTAATAATGTTTTACCACATGGTTTATCAAGATTTGTTTGTTCCATTAGAAAGCTATTCTACAAGTAAAATAAGATGAAGAAAGCAAAAATAGTGATCTCACTCACATAATCTTTTTAATACTTTAACTAAACCAGTTAATAAAATAAACATATATATGAAATGAGATCTAAATAAACAATAAGAATATGTGACCAAAAATAATGATATTGATAATAATCAGTTAATTTTTTGAATCAATCAAATAAACAATTTAATTTAATAAATATATCCGATATGAAATGAGATCTAAATATACAATAAGAATATATGAATAAAAAAATGATATTGATAACACTCACATACTGTTTGAATAAATTAAATAAACAATTTAATTTAATAAATATATATGAAATGAGATCTAAATATACAATAAGAATATATGAATAAAAAAATGATATTGATAACACTCACATAGTGTTTGAATAAATTAAATAAACAATTTAATTTAATAAATATATATGAAATGAGATCTAAATGTACAATAAGAATATATGAATAAAAAAATGATATTGATAACACTCACATAGTGTTTGAATAAATTAAATAAACAATTTAATTTAATAAATATATATGAAATGAGATCTAAATATACAATAAGAATATATGAACAAAATAATGATATTGATAACACTCACATAGTGTTTGAATAAATTAAATAAACAATTTAATTTAATAAATATATATGAAATGAGATCTACGTATATAATAAGAATATGTGAAGAAAGTATGTATTAAGATAACAGTGAAAATCTGAAAAGAGAAAGAGAAATTTTAGTACTAAATTCATTAAGACTAAACGAAAATTTCTTTTTAGCTCCATCTACCAGTATTATAAATAAACAAGAGGAAGAGGAACAACTTTTAAATAATGGCGTAAGAAATAAGCAAAGTACTTTTTTTTTTACAAAGTACCACAAACGAATTCTGTTTTTTCCAGCAAAGTGCAAAACACAGTACTTTTTCAAAATCGTAAGTACCTTGGGTACTTTGCTTTTGCTTGAGGTACTTAATATTGGAAACACTGGCTAGCACGATAGAAATGATACACTACGATGGAAGAAAAAAAACCTATTGGTGGAATCAACAACCAATCAGAAAATCGCTGTACCAAAAACATCAAATTAGAGGCTCATGATTTTGACATCGCGACCCTTAGTAACTAGAAGTTTATTACAAGCATCCAAACAATATGTGAACATTTTCCTGCCAGCAGAAAGATATCATTTGTCCCCAATCCAAGCCATCCTCGAAAGACATTATCATAACCCCAACTCATTAGTCTGCAAAATAAAACAAACCTAAAACAGATAATCGACTCTTCAATAAACCCGAGGAGAGAACAAACTGTACCAATCACACCCGCATACGCGACTTGTCAAAGTTGTGAAGGGATTTAGGGATGAAAAATTTCATTGCAAAAAGAGAAGTAATACATCATTAGATGCAGAATTAAATTCTCCATCAGATGAAACAACTCTCATAGAGAGAATCGATTTTTGAAAGCTCTCAGAAAAGAAAAAGAAGTGATGAGTCACACTTGCATACACGAGTTGTCAACGTTCTCAAGGAATTTAGGGATAAAAAATTCCATTGCAAAAAGAGAAGTAATACATCATTAGATGCACAATTAAATTCTCTATCAGATAAAACAACTCTCATACAGAGAATCGATTTTTGAAAGGTCTCAAAAAAGAAAAAGAAGTGATGAGTCACACTTGCATACACGAGTTGTCAACGTTCTCAAGGAATTTAGGGATGAAAAATTCCATTGCAAAAAGAGAAGTAATACATCATGAGATGCACAATTAAATTCTCTATCAGATGAAACAACTCTCATACAGAGAATCGATTTTTGAAAGGTCTCAAAAAAGAAAAAAATGTGATGAGTCACACCTCCATACAGGACTTGTCGACGTTCTGAAGGAATTTAGGGATCGAAAATTCTATAGCATTCTACTCTGTTCGTACTCCATGGGCATCTGATAGCGACGTCTCAAACACAAAACAACGCGTGAAGATAACAGCAAGAAAAGTAAAACTGGATAAGAAAAAAATGACTTTTCTTTAATACATGAAATAATATAATAAGAGTAGAAAGGAAGAGCGTAATAAAAACAGATAAACTACTGAAAGCTCGCACGCAATTCTATTTCCACTTTCAACACATAAAAGACATTGATCTAAAGTTAATCGTACGAAACAACGGAACATCATTGAGATAAAAAGAAAAACCTGGTGAGAATAGCTTCGCGTTGCACACACTAACAACATTCTTAACGTATTCGAAAAAACTCATAGCATGATCCTGCTCCATCCAAACAATAAAAAACAGGTGCGACTCGAACGAACCCATCTACCTGTCAGAATAATCGACCACTAGGAAAGCAGCAGAAAAAACTATAAACAGCCATAATCAACCAGCCTGCAGCTCTCAAAGACTATATACCATTCACCAGCAAGAAGAACTATTATAATCAGACACAACCATCACGTAGTGATGATCTTTCGTAGTCTCATAAGAACCCCACTCACTGACACCATAGTTGTCGCTAGTTTTTGATTTCTCCTTCTTGTTTATATGGCCCTTACAAGAAGAGAGAACTTCTCATGTAGATCAAAACGCCATATCCATTACATTCGCACAAAAACCAATGCAACACTACATTCTCTGCTTCCACATGTGGAACTCATGTCCGCACAAAAGATACTATCCGCATGAGGCACTTTTATTTCACATTTTACTCTTCTTATTTTTATCGACTCAAAACATTTTCCAGAAACTTTCAACTCTACCAAAACAAACTATTCATGAGAGCTCAATATTAACGAAGCTAAAAATGAATCATCAAACAGCCCTTGCAACGAGTCCTCACCGAAACCGAGCGTACGACAATCAGTTGACTCGACTTCAAAACTACAGCGCTTTTCGTTTGTGGTTCTGGAAATTTCAAAAACTTCGCAGAGCAATACAAATGCATTGTTCATGAAAAGTGTACAACAAGCCGACAACCATTCAATTTGACATAAGCCCTTCCACCGATTTCCTCAAACAGACGGTATCTATATACAACCGCAGACGATAATCTCCACCTTCTCTCCACTTTTTCGCCCCACCCACAAATTTTCATCACTGACAACCACGTCCAAAATGAGCTAAGAAACCCAATTCGTGCAACCACCTGTCCAACATAGCATTCCACACCATGTCCACTAATCTATCAATCAATTATCGCCCTTTTCCCAAAAGACACACACGTCAAAAATCATTTCCAACCAGCGCCAGCGCAGCCACGCATCAGTCACCTCTTCTCTCATAGCATCAACCGTTAAAAAATTATTCTCCCTGCAGGGTTTCTTTCATCTTCCAAACCATTAAAATGTCTATCTAATCAGGTATCACTTCTCCATTTTCCAATGCCACTTTCGTCCTCCAAAATGCTTCGCAATAGTGAAAAGTAATGCTCATACGTATGACACATCGCTTTTTTTCCTTATTCCACACATTTTGAAAATTGATTCTCTCTTAGCGATTTGTTTTATCTAGTAGAGAATTGAATTCTGCATCGAATGATGTATGATTTATGTTTTTGCAATGGATTCTTTGTCCTGAAAAATCTATGATAATGTTGGAAAATGGTGCTCATAGGTGTGACTCACCTCTTTTTTTCCCTATTTCATACGTTTTCAAAATCGATTCCCTATCTCAGGTTTATTTCATCTGGTAGAGAATTAAATTCTGCGTCGAATGATGTATAAAGCACCTTTTTGCAATGGATTTTTTGTCCGCAAAAATCCATCATAATGTTGGGAAGTTTTACTCATGGATGTGACTGATCTCTTTTTTTCCTTATTCCACAGATTTAAACAATCGATTCTCTTTTAGTGATTTATTTTATCGAGTAGAGAAGTTAATTCTACATCGAATGGTGTATAAGGTTTTTTTTTCTGAGGTAATTTTGGTTTGGAGAGATGCTTCAAAACGTTGGGAAACGATGAATGTAGGTGTGGCTGAGATTTTCTGTGGCACGGGGAGTATTTTTTAAACTTGCGGAAGTCTATGTGTTCGGTTGCTAGGGAAGATTCGTTCGGGAGAGTATGGACTGATTGTCGTAAAATATGCGCGATCGCTGATTGGTCGGTTGATCGGACGCTTTTCATTGGTGGTCGTGCTAGCTTCACATCGATAAGTTTCTAAACGTTTTTTCTTTAATAACAATTTGATTTATCTTAAACTAGTTAACCTAGTATTGTTGGGTGGAACAAATACATGCAGAACAGTTTTCTCCATATGAGCGCCATTTATCAATTAATTTTGAAGATTATGTGAAAAAGACTTGCTTATAAAAGAATTTTTGAACTGACAATGGAACAAAGTATATTTGATAAAACTTGTGCAAAACAATTATATTTTTTATTTATATGTTCCAGTAGGTCTGATCTGTATTGTGAAATAATGAGTTGAAATATTTTCAAAAAATGTGTAGAAAAAAAGTAACATAATTTTTCATAACATCTCCAGGGGTGTCCCGGCCGGGGGCGGGGGTCGGGGGTTACCCCCCTCCCCCCCAATGTTGAAAAATTTTCTTTTTTTCCCAGCAGAATTCTAACATTTTTTCGTTTTTTTTGCTCCCTAACTCTCAAAACAATCTTGTACCCCCCCAAAATCAGGTCTCTTTTAGAAAAAATTTTTCAATCGATTTTCTAGATGATCGCCCCCCC